TTTTTTTAAGCACCTCCATGCTTTAAATCCTTTGCTACATACACACTCTGCTCCACCCCGATCTTCAATGCTTAGCTTACAAACACAGAATAAAATAGAAACTCCTCAACCTGGTATACTGTATGAGACCTTTCACAAACCAGGTCCAGCTGCCATTCCAGCCTTAGCTCCAGCCAGCTCCCCCAATAAATCCTATGATCCAGCACTTTCCTACCCCCTGAACAAGCCTTGGTACTATCACTCATGTTTTCCCTTGCCTGGAAATGCCCTCCTCTCTGTGTCTGCCTGGTGAGCCCCTGTGCATTCCTCAAAACACACTTCAGACATCACTTCCAATTCTGAACCCTTTGCTTACATCCGTATTACACTTACCAAGGTCCTTTGTTTATATCTGTCCATAGCACTTATTGTACTTTGTTATGATTGGTATATTTTGTATCTATACCTTCTGACAAGTAGTAACATCCTCCCCAGCGTCTAGCACAGTGTTGAAACAGAGCAGGCGCTCAACAGATGTTTATTAAATTACTCAATGAATTAGTCAATGAATTGGAGCTTTAATAGAGAATATTGCCTAAGACAAAACATTGAGTCCAATTAACTGAGACTCACCAGAGAAATTCCTGTCATGTGTTAGTGTCAGAAAAAGCTGTGCTTCTCCTAAGCCACCTATTCTTTTCTTATGGGCTTTATGAATTTCATACCTGATTACGTTTACCTCTTTAACTACCAGGAAGCTCAGAGCCCATATCTTGGAACCATATAGAACCACCTGAAATGCATTTCTAGGTACTGATTTTACCCCTCCTGTTTTCCTTTCAACTCAATTCCTTCAGTCATTTATTCTTTTTGTAAAGTTTTGGGTTTTGGAAGTCATCCATCTCAAGCTCTTTGTGGAATTAAGTAAGTTAGAAATACAGACTGAAGAAAATCAATAAATCCATCAAACACTATTTTAAACCCTCTTTATGTGACCCGGAGTCCACACCCTTTACGCTCCTGCACCCCAGAGCCAGGATTTGGGTGAGACAAGGACAGCATCAAGGCTGCAAAATTTAAGCACTCACTCTTAGGGTTGTGCAAGTGTCAACTGTGCACATGCACGATCTTGAGAGTGAATGCCTCCTTAAGAAAGAATCACCTAGGGCTTCACTTGCCTGGCCCTGAGAGTGGGAGTTTCCTTACATTTTGCACCCTAGTCACCTCTCTTGCCTCACCTTAGTCCAGGCTCTACAGTTCACCATCCATCCCTTCAGGACCTCTGCCCATTTGCCAGGGTCCCCTGACCTCAGGTTCCCAGCACTGAATGCAGAGATGAGGCAGACCCTCCTGGTTCAAGCTGTTTCTCTACTCTTGGGTGAATAATGCTACCCCAACTCTTCCGGCCGTCACTCTGTTGACTCATAAATAGTTGGCTGTCACCTAAACCCCAGGTTGTTTTCACAGTAACTGCAATCAGTCCAGGTCTTCTCCATCCCATCCTTCTCTGTTGATTTTGAGTCTCCACGGGAGGCCTTTGAAGAAGGCATACCTTTTTTTTTTGCGGTACGCGGGCCTCTCACTATTGTGGCCTCTCCCATTGCCAGGCTCCGGACGCACAGGCCCACGGGCCTAGCCGCTCCGCAGCATGTGGGATCTTCCCGGACCAGGGCACGAACCCGTGTCCCCTGCATTGGCAGGCGGAATCTCAACCACTGCGCCACCAGGGAAGCCCGAAGACATACCTTTAAAGAAGGCATTCGAGAGCCTAAGGAGTCAGAGCCATAGAGGAAATGGGTCAAGGAGATGGGGGAAGAGATAAGAGGATCAGAGGGATGGAGGAGTCAAGGAGACAGAGATAAGAGAAATGGGGTCAGAGATAAAAGTTAGAGACATAGTTGGGGTGGTAGAGTCAAAGGGTGGGTCAGGGAGGAGGGCCTGAAGCTTAGGAAACGGGAGAATCAGAAACCTGAACGAGATCTCAAAGAGATAAATACTAGGAAAAAGGAAGAACTCAATTGATATAAGGGCTCGGGAAGGAAGAGACCCACCTAGGGCAAAGAGCTGAGAGAGGGTGCTGAGATGGAGCGAAGCTGCAAGGATGGGGGAAACCAGGATAAGCAGGGAGGATGAGTTAACCACAAACACAGCTGTCCTGGCCTGGGCTTTCATTTTTGCTGGATCTTGGCTTAAAGAGAGAAGCCATCACTGGCCTCTCTCTGTCCTTCCACTTTCCACCTGTCTATGCTGGGAGGAGCTGGGAGAAGGGGAGAAGGCTGCCACTGCTGCTCTGGTGCCCAAGATATCCCTCCCCCCTTGGACTCAGGTGAGGTTCTTGTGAAGGGCAGGAGGGGCTTCTCTCTCTCTCTGGGATTCACTAGGATCAGGACCCAGCAACCAGATGCCTATCCCTTCCAGAGAACATGCCCCTCACCTTCCGGGAATGCTGACAGAGGCCAGGAAGGGATACAGGAGTGGGATCTGGGCTGGCTGTGAGTTCAGTGTTTCAACAGGAGGTTGGCAGGGGGTCCACAGGGAAGGACAGCGCCAGGATGAGGATGCTGAACTGAGGGTTTGCAGAGAACTGGAAGAACATCAGCCCCAATTAAATCATGTGGCCCTCACCCAAGAGCCATCATTCTCAAGAGGCATCCCTTGTAAAGGAGTCAACCCCACACTGGCGGCTGGGCTGTGCCCTGTTAGAAAAGAAAGAAAGGCACAGAGAAGCCACTTCGGCTGTTTAACACCCTTCCTTGGGGCCTGGGCTTTCCCTTAACTGAGGCCAGTGGGATGGGGGCCTCTGGGGGAGGAGAAAAGGGGAAGGAGGTGTCTGGGGACACAGGGGCGGGGCTAAGAGCAGGAAATGAGCTGGGAACCACCATCACCCTCCCTCCACTGCAGGCACACGGAGCAGCAGCCCAGAGCAGAGAACAAAGAGGAAATGACAGATTGGGGTGGAGGGGGGGAGAAATCATGCCCTTCTTTGGGAGGAGGTCGAAGTACCAAAAAACAAGCTGGGCTGGGCCGTCAGGATACCTGCGTTCAATTCCAAATCAAATCAAGAAATGTTTCTGAGTGTCTACTGCACACCAAGCACAGTGGGGAGCCAATGTTGTCCCTGGTCCTGCTCGTTTCCAAGCGTCCTCCAAGGTAACTCAGGGAGGATGCTTTCCACAGACAGTCCTCACCCCCATCCTCCTTTGTACCCTCTACCCCCATCTTCACACCAGGCCTCAGGCCATCTCTCTTACTGTTCTGGTGTTCCCATTTTAGCAGCTTCTCCCCTCACCTTCCACTTTGAACCCGTTTCTCCTTTGCACAGGGAAAACCGGAGAATCAGAGAGACTGGGGGAGGGGACCGTCCCCACCCTGCATCTTCACCTGTGGCCCAGCAAGGCTGCAGAGGGATCAGAGCCCCATAACCTCGTCTCCTCCAACCAGGAAACACCCATCCTCCCCATGTGCCATCCGCAGGCTCTCCAGGGGCCCTTCTCCTGTCCTTTTTCATTCAGACCTAAGGACCATCCATGCCCCTTCAGCCACTCATCTCCTGACCCTGTCCCTTCAGCCTTCCTCTCCTGTCCCCCAGCTGTCATCTCCTCACCTCTGCTTCTTCTACCTCTCCTGGGTCTCCAGTCTCTCCCTCCTCTCCTCTCAGTGCTCCCTCGGTGCCCCCATTCTCATCACCAGTCTCTTCACCCCCAGGCAGTCACTGAGCCACATTTCCTGCCCTGCCTGGGGGTGACCCCAAGCCACTGCCCGTTCTCCATGAGCTCCTGGAAGCTGCTTCTGTACCCTCAGCCTAGATCAGGCTGGAGAAGCTCCACGCCTCCCCCTCCGCCCAACAGCAGCTCCGGGCTGGCCTCCTTACCCTCCTGGCCTGAGTGCTGAAGGTGCTCCTGCAGGTCGCACCCAAACACCCGCTCCTTCGAGCTGCCCTTCTTCTTCCCTTTCTGCCGAGACTTCATGGCCGGAGCCCCAGGGCTCTGGCCCAGCCACCTCTGTCCCCTAAGACCTTTGCCCTACTAGTCCCCCATGGGATCCCAAGCCAGCCTCTGGGCTTGGCCTGGCCCCAGAGGGGCAGGGCTCAGAACTGGGGGTGGAGGGTGGCCTGGGCAACAGGCAGCAGCTCCTGCCTCTGGGGCCCCGGCCACACGGAAGTGGCTGTGGAAGAGGAAGCTGCCAGGACCCCGGCAAGAAGTTGTGTCTCGTGGCTGGGCCTGGCACTCGCCCTTCTCGCCCTGCTCAGCCCCGGGGGGCAGGAAGCTGTGCAGCTCCTTAAACCCGCTTCCTGTTAGAGCATCTTTGCAACCACAGAGCTGGGGTGGGGGAGGTAGCTGACATTCACATCCTCACCCATTGCTGGGCCTCCACTCATTGGTCAACAGGAGATGATGTCAGAGCCCTGGGGTGGGTGGTAGCGCCTGGGGTGTGAGCAGGTGACTGACACCCTCGGAGACCAGAATTCTGGGGTCTGAGGTGGAGACCCGAGACTTGCCTAGGAGCAGAGCAACACAGGGCTGTGCAAGGCATACCCAGGAGGGAGGACGGCCAGGCTTTGGCCCTGACCGGCCTGTAGTCTCAGTCAAGTCACATTACTTTACTGGGCCTCAGTTTCAACACATATAAAAAAAATGAAGAGAGTGGACTAGATGATCTTTAAATCTTTCCAACTCTAACATTCTGTGGAACTTATTTGAATTTTGGGTTCTTTGACTGTAAAAAGTTTACACTGTTGTCTACTTTCCAGGCCTGTTGTAGTGAGACTCCAATACAATACAGGATATAAAATACTGACAGCTAAGGCACTGCCTATCCTGGAAGGGCTTATAGTTCCACTGTCCGACCTCGACTCTCAGAGACGGCTGAAGGTCTTGTGGAGGCCGCTTCTTTTCCCCCGTCCCCCCTAGTTCCAGGCAAACTAACTTCTCCCCTACTTGGGACCACAAGGAAGATGGTGCTGAGACAGCACTGAGGTTCAGGACTTACACAGTCCAGGGAGCAAGACAGGAACCGGAAAGAACAGGTTTTATCTGTTTATTTAAAAACAGAATATCTTTTTTATGTACAAATATGAACATATTTACACAAAATATACATACTAGAGTTCCATATCTTCAGGTTCCACCTCCAAAGTCCTGGGCTGGCTGGAGAGCAGGGGATGAGAGTCTCTCCTTTGGTCCAGAAATCCAGCAGAGTTCGGGCTGAGCAGGGTTTGGGCACTAAATCTAGATATTCTGGCTGAATGTATTTGGGTGGGGCAGGCAAAAATGGACCTTATCTAATCCCAACCAGAGAAACGGCTGGAAGTTAGTGACCCAAGTTAGTAACCCTGAGACCCCTGGGGAAAAGGAGACATTCTTGCTCCCAGCAGCTCCTTCACCTCCCTTGGTCTATAATCACTCTTCTCTCCCCCCTACACCACAACCAAACCAGAAGCCCTTGTCACCAAGTCCTAGCAGCCCCCCACCAAGGGATCACAAACAACTGTGGATACAACTAAGAAAACATGAGGCTAGGGGAAGAGCTCAGGAGCCCCTAGGGCCAAGGACCCTACCTACCCTCCCATAGCCAGTAACGGAGGGGCGCACACCCCTCCTTCAAACTCTATCAGCTCTTCGGCTCCCTCCCAAGAGCCTGCCTAGATTAAGATGCCTTAGACGGAGCACCTTTCAGAACCACAGGAACTAACCCCCTGGGGTAGGACCTGAGCAAGGTCTAGCTTTGCTGAATTCTTGTGTAGGCTGATGTCACTTTAAGCAGTCCTTGCAGTAATAAATGTCCAGGTGAATCAAAAGTTTATAAAAAGTCTTTTGTCTTATGAATGCATTTGGGGCAGTAGTCCTCAAAGATGCTCCACTGTGCAGGTTTACGTACAACAAATACGTACATGCAGCAGGCCCAGAGGCCACCAGAGGGCAGAGGGTTTCTTCTGTAACAGTTTGAGCCTCTGGCCCACCCCTAGGCCCACTGCTTTACACTTGCCCTGACAGCTCCCAAGTGGTGGGAGCCCGGCTCCCGCACTCAGGAGGCCAGATTCCAGCTCCAGCTATGCCCGCACACCTGGACCTGGCCCACAGTCTCCACCTCCCGCCTCCAACCTCTGCATCATTAATACTGCTCTGGGGTCTGAGGAAAACACCTGCGTTTTACAGGCAAAGGTCACACAGCCACACGACACATGCACCGATCCCCTGTGGCGTTCCCCATGCAGCCACTGAACCCTGTGGCACACACACCATGGTTCACTTGGACTCTGACGTGACAACACAACGCACACCGTGGGCACGGTCACCCCTCCGCGCACACACAGTGCACACTCAGACAAGCACTAATGCACACACAGTGACCTGCACACACTGTGGGAGGGACTCAACAAGCAGAGCCCTTCCGTCATCCAACAGAAGGACCGGAGGAAAAGGTCGAGCAGTCAGTGGGGTGGGGAGCATCTTCCTCAGGAAATGAGGTGTGTAGGGAGGCTCCCTGGGGATGAGCTGAAATCTTCCATGTCAGCAGAGGGAGCCAGGCTTAGGGGACGGAGGCAAGCCTGGGTCAGACCAGGTGCCCCCGCCCATTGATGTAGATGCCATTGCCCGTGGGCTTGGCCCGCAGGGTCCCGTTCTCCTGAACAAAATGGTTCATGGCCTGTTTGATGCCTTCATCCTGATCTTCCTCCTCCTCTGTCCGCCCAGAGCCTGGAGACAACAGTTCAGTCTGTGTTTCAATCTCCCGCACTGTGGTCAGCGTGGAGTAACTGCGGCCCTCTGCCTCTTCGCTCTGGAGACCAAGGGCGGAGGGCAAGTCAGGAACCAAGGCAGGGCAGCCAGACGTGAGGGGGTCGGCTGGGGCACGCTGGGGTCAGAGGTAAGGCACAAGCAGGGGTTATGGTTGCTCAACGGCTCAGAGATGGGGGGCCAGGAATGAATGTTAGGCCTGGGGAAGGGGAGACTAGAGAGCAAAGGCATAGCGGGGCGGGGAGGGGATGGGATGGGGCAGCATGAGTCTGAGGTATCAGGGACCGGTGAAGGGGCAGCTGACGCACCACATCTGGGACCCGGAGAGGGGCCTGAGGAGAGTGGGAGGGACGCCGGTGGGGCCGGGGGCCTCACCATCACAGAGCAGCTACTGTTGTCCTTGAGACCATCAGGGTGGCCCTCGGCTCTCAGCCCTACACTCTCCTCCGGCTGCAAGGCCCGCACATGGGGGAGGAGTCAGAACAGCGCTCAGCCTCTTCACCTCTGTCCTCCCCCAGCCTCCCCCCAATCACCTTCCCCCCAGCCTGACCTGTCCATTCTCTCCTCGATGCAAACATCCTCACTTCCCCCACCCCTACCCTCATCCCACCCTCATCCCGCCCTGAAACCAGTGCTGAGGGTGGCTTCCCACAGCAGCCTCGAAGGGGGTTGCTGAAGGGGGCCCTCTGAAGGAGCCCAGCAAACCCAGAGCAGCTCCAGACCTGCCGGGGCTGAGTCAGCGGCGGCCAGACCTGGGGGCGGGCTGCGCTTCTGGTCCGCAGAGGGGCCCCGGCCCCAAGAATGCATCCAACCTTGGCACACACCTGGTTCCTGGGGTCCGAGTGATGGGAATGCAGCCTCCGGATGGAGTTCTCCCTGGTCAGGGTCAGCTCCTCCTCACTGGGAAGACACCCCCTGGTCAGGAGCTGAGGGTAGTGGTAGCCTCCCAAGGTGAACCTAGCCTGGCCAAGCCTATGTGAGCCGGGGCTGGAGGGTGTGGGCGCTGGGTTGTCCCTGCAAGTGCGAGTGAGTGGCTGTAGGTGGCGGTGCGGCTGCAGAGCGTGTGTGTGCCCCTGTGATACACGTGCATGTGGATCTGACCCTCACTCAGGCAGTGTGGCTCCCCTCATCCAGCTGCGACCCAGGCCCCAAGGCCCTTCTCACCTCCCAGAAGACTGGCTCTGCCTACCTCTGGTCCACAAGCTCCTCAGATGTCAGGCCGCCCAGTCTCCTCTCGCTCCTCGGTCCTGGCCCACCTCCTGCTTGCCTCCCCTTTGTTCCCTGCTTACCTCTACCCGCCCATGAGTGGCCAGTACTCACTATTTCTGGGTCATCTGCTGGGCCTTGCGCCGATGGTATCGGGACATGAGCACCACCACCACCACCAGAAGGCAGAACAAGAGTGCAGCGATCACACCCACCACCACCACGGAGGCCGACACCAGATCCACCTGCTTCCCCGTGGTATCCTGGGGGTCTGCTGGAGACAGGCCACTGTCTGAGGCCGATGCCCAGATCCCTGACCGGCCCCCGGACTCCACAGCCCCCCACACACTGTCCTCACAAAACACGTCCTAGGACCACCCCCTCAGCCTGGCCCTCTGCAAAATACATGCAGTCCAGCCCCCTCCAAATCAATCCTCTCCCAGTTCATTCTCTCTGTCTTGCTCCCTGTCCCCCGACCAGGCCCTTGGCCCAGGTCCCAGCCTCTGCCCCAGTGCTTACCAAGAACATCCACATCCACCTGAGAATCCCTTGAGGAGAGCTCATTGCTGACGTGGCAGACGTAGGTGCCACTGTGCTCAGTGGTCAGCGGGGGGAAGGTCAGGGTATCTCCTTCTGCTTGTACCCCACTGGGCAGAGGCCCGTCCAGCCTGGAGGACAGGGAAGCTGATGGGTGCTGGCTGGGGAGGGCTGAGACTGCCACGACCCAACGTGCCCGGGCAGCTCTCCACCTCCCTCCCCCATGACGTCACCCAGAGCCACCGGCTGTTCCCACGGTGCCCCTCCTTCCCCTAGGCAGGTCTAGGCAGAGGTCCCTTCTCCCTGCCGCCCAGCCTGACCCAGGCACCCACACACACACTTGGGGAAGATCCACACGCGTGCCGTCCCACAAGCTCCATAGGCATCACGTCATCCCGCGCTAGGTACCAGGTCCACACGGTATATAAAGTCCACACAACAGGACTGTTCCTTCCTATCGGGGCTCAGATGTACTTGGACAGTGTGACTGCATGCTCCAGCACCCACGATGTTTCATGGCAGGATACATGAACACAGCCCCAGGCACAAGGCCACATGCATGGCTCATCTGCTCACATGTGAGCCTGTCATGGGCTCACACACATGTGTCCCTGACCCCTCCCTGATTGTCTGGACATCTCAGACCCTGAAAAAAAGTCAAAGAACTGGCAGAGATGGGTGGGTGCTTCTGAGGTGCTAGCAACCTGGTAGTGACTCGAAGAGTGTTAGTTTCACAACAGTCACAGTCAGCTGTATCTTTTTGTCTTTTTCATTTTAGGCACTTACATAAATATATAAAGTATTAACATTGAAATGCTGTATTATATTTCACAATTTTAAAGTTAAGGGAAAAAAAGCCAAGGACTTATCAGCTAATTTCCTGCCAATTACCATGTATCCTACACTCCTAGGTGCAAGGCAACAACAATGTTTGGTGACCATGCATATTCTTGTATTGGTTTGAACACGTGCCCTAATTTATCTGGGGTTCAGAATATATTGTCCCAGCCCACGGTGAGTATGTGCTGGTCCTGAGGGAAAGACCCTGGTCCCAAGCTAGGCCCTTACCGTGTCCAGTTGTACGAGGGAGGAGGCTGCCCTTCACTCAGGCACTTGAGCATAGCTCCTTCTCTGCCAACCTGCCACAGCTTTTGGTCTTCAAGGCCCCTCACAGAGGCCTCAGCAAGGACTGGAATGAAAAGTTGGAGGAGAAAGAATGGAAATGATACCTTTGATCGTGCTCTTCCTCAAAGGGCCCCCGCCCCAGGCCCCACTTTGCCTGGAATAGCCTCCCCCTGCCCTTCTCCATCTTACTCATCTGCGGCCAAAGCTAGCCCAGCCCCGCCTTACTGACAGCTCCCTCCCCTCTCGAAGTTCAGAGAGTCCACATGGGTTTACCTGTGCAATGAGCCTATAAGTCCCTCTGCACAGCAATGTGGCACACCTTTTCTGAATCCCCCGTGGTCCGTAGCATAGCGCTAGTCACAGAACAGGTGCTCAGCAAACACTCCCTGATCCATCAAAGGGTTAACCATCCTACTAGTTCATTCATTCCTTTTTTTTTTTCTTGGCCGTGTGGCGCAGCTTGTGCGATCTTAATTCCCCGACCAGAGATCGAACCCGGGCCTTTGGCAGCAAAAGCATGGAGTCCTAACCACTGGATCACCAGGGAATTCCGGTTCATTCACTTCTTTCACAGACATTTGTTGAGGACCTACTTAGTGCCAAATGCTGGGTTAGTATGAGTAGAAAACAGTGCTATCCTCCAGAGAGGTTCAAAGTCTAATGCCAGGAAAACAATATCGACTGTCGACCGAGCACCTTCTATGCACTAAGCGCTATGCGAGAGGCTCTGCATTCGTTCAGAACCCTGTGAAGTTGACATAATAATACTCCTTCTGCTGATGAAGAAAATGAACCTTAATAAGATTGAATAATAGCTGGTAAACAGCAGAACTAGGGCTCATCCCAAGTCTATTTGTCTTCAAATCCTAAACTATTTTCCAAAATGCTTTTAATTCCATGTTTATATCTGATTCTCCCAACAACCCCTGAAGCAGGGCCAGCTCCTTTGTAAACAGAAGGACACAAGGTCAGAGTGATTTGCCAAGGTCACCTGGGATGGGCTCCAGGTCTCCTACCTTGGACTGGTGCTCTCTCAGCCATACAAGGTGGCCTCCAGGACCCAGGCTGGCCAGACTGGTGTGGCTTAGGGTCTCTCACTATCTCACCAATCCTCTTGGAGCCCATGGGGGCGCCCTACCCAAGATCCAGGTACTCACAGGCCACTTGGAGGATGTGGGTGATCCTTTGGTCCTGGAGCAGGCCAGGGTGCGACACCACGCAGGTAAGTGGCTGTCCATTCATGCTGCGGCTGGGCACCAGATGGAATTCTGAAGTGACAGCAGCTGAGCGAGAGTGCGTGAAAGAGCGGCCGGATGTTGTACCCTTGACCTCTGTGTCCCAGGTCACGCTGGGGGCTGGGCTACCCTCTGCTGTGCAGGAAGCTGCCAGTGTCAGGCCCTGGCCCTCTTCTAGTGCTGGACCAGGATTCAGCGAGGGCAGGGGAGGCACTGCAGATGGGGGGGAGGCAGAAATCACAACCTTCACAACCCCTGTCAGGAGGCCCCGCCCCATCCCGGTTCAGTCTTGCACAGGTGCAAAGTTTCAGGCCCCTTTTTCTTCTTTTATTTCATCAACAAAGATGCCAGGTGAGTGGCAGCATTTCAGCGGACTTTGTACCTTTCTCCAATGCTTGAATTTTTTACAATGAGTACGGGTCATTTTTCAAATAAAAATAATGAAGTAATTAAAAAACTAACCAGATAACATCTCTATAATAATAATAATAGCCATCATTTATTAAGCACTTACTATGTGCCCAGAATTGTGCTAAACACTTTACAAACGTTGTCTCTTTTAATCCTGTCAACAGACACGAAGTAGGTGTTACTATCTGTATTTTACAGCTGAAGAAACTGAAGCCCAGGGAGGTTAAATGATTTATTCCAGATCAGTAGCTATTAGGTGGTGAAGCCAAGATCCACACCCAGATTTTTCTACCAAGGCTGGTATTACTAACTTCCATGTAGATAAAGGGAAACTATAAAGGCCTTTATTTATTTTTATCTTCATAACATTAACAGTCCAAGCACAGAATGGAAAAGACTTAACTTGACCATAAGTCTAGGGCATCCGTGCAAAGTGGTGGTTTAAAAGGTGATTGTGGTCTCCAACCACATTCACTGAAGGTCCAGATCAGGAAAGGTCTCAGCCCCACTGGTCATGCACAGCCACACTGGTCATAGCTGGGTCTGCATGTCCACATCTAGACACCACATTCTAAAACCATGGAGCCCAAGGTGGTGAGGGAAGCTCTGAATGAGTGTCTTTAGTAGAACTGTTGCAGAAACCTGTAAGTTTAGCTTGAAGAAGAAGAGGCTTGGGTGGGGCATGACAGAGGTCCTCAGCTGGTGGAAAGGCTGTCGTGCAGAAGGGAGAATAAGCCTGTGTCATCTTGCTGGGGTGGGTGAAAGCAACCGAGAGGGAGATTTCAGATCAGCAGAAGGAAGAACAGCCTAATACGTGGATTCTTCCCCAAGCCTGACCAAGCAGTATCAAGCTTTTGGGGTCACTTGGAGAGAATTTCTGGATTGGAGTGAGGGGGGGTGGCTAAATGAAGCTCCCTCATCTCTACAGGGCCCCACCTCTTCTTCCTGTTCCGCTTCTGCCCGCTCCATCTCTGCATCCCCCCGCCTCCAGCTTCTGCCCTCCAAGACCCGGGGCCTGAGGACCTGGTGCTTCTGCACACACAGCACCCGCCCCCATGCCCAATGGGCCCCACTTACCCAGCACGCGGAGCCGAAGCTGCGCCTGGAAGCTGCCGGCAGGGAAGGTACTGACGCGACACTCGTACTCGCCCTCGTCCGCCTGCACCGCGTTGCGCAGAAGCACCGCACCGTCCAGGGGGTTCCTTGGGGGAGGCGGCTGTTCCACGCGGCCCTCGTAGGCTGAGCTCACGTACAGCCCGTATTTAGAGTTCAGAAGTGCCAGCTCCTGGCCGCCCTCGCCCTCATGCACACGAGCCCATGCCACTTGCTCCACCTGCTCGCCCGGGTCCCCTCGGTAGAAGCAGGGCAGTTTTGCGTCCTGGCCCAGCACCACGGTCACCAAGTCCGAGGTCTCCAGCTCGCCCGCCGGGCACCGACCTGCAGGGGGGCAGACAGAAGCAGCCAGGATTAGGGGCGCTGCCAGAGCCGGGGGAACACTTAACCACAATGATAATGTCCGCAAAGGCAGCCCGGAACTCCTGGAGCACTTTATGCTTGCAAAGCACGTTCAGTCCATTACCTCATTAGATTCACAAAACATTCCCAAGAGGCAGGTGTTATTATCGCCGTTTAACAGATGAGAAAACTGAGACCCAGAGACAGGAAGTGACTTGCCTAAGGCCACACAGGTGGTATGTGGAAGAGTCATACCCTCTCTCAGCCCAGGATTGTATCCTGAGCAATTGTAAGGTGGGGGCTATAACAAGAGGAGAGACCCAGCCTCTGCCCTCAGGGAGCTCCGGGAAATGGGTTTTGTGCACACAAAGATGGGAAGCCATGGACAAACTTTCACAGAAGGCTCAACCTACCAAGGGGGGGAGGAAAAGTGAATGCTTTCAGAAAGTGTGGCCAGGAACCAAGGCAAGGGTGGAGAACAGTTGGTGTCTGGGATGGGGCATGTAGTGTAGGAAGGGTCCAAACCAGCAGGCCCTTCGGAACAGTCTTTTCATGGCTTTAAGATGAGAGACCTGGATTCCCAGAGAGAAGAAGGTATTCTATGTGGGAGGAAGGGCACGAACCAAGGCTCAGAGACAGGAATGAGAAAGTCACCGAAGACAGAAAGGCCCTAGGTCAGAGGCCCAGAGATACGAGGTCAGCACAGACACACATGACAGGGTCAGAACCGTGAGCCAGAATCGGAGGACCAGAGATAGGGGCCAGTGACAAAAGGCAAGTGTTTTGCGCATCGACGAGGAGCAGTATGAAGCAGTCAGGGGTATCTATCATGTAGCCTTATCTGCAAAGAAGGATGCATTTCCTGCACTCACAGAACCTGAGCTTTATTCTGGAAGAGGAGATACGTTTGGAGACAGCTATGGAAACACTTGTGATGGTTTCTGATTTAGTGCTTAGTGGTGTGTTGCAGGTTAGTCGTGGGATGGGACAGTCACAGTGGTCCCGAGTCACATGGGAGGGGCTCATGCATGAGTTGGGTAGAATCAGGAGGGGATGAGACCTGGAAAGGGGTCCCAGGTAAGGGACCAAGGTGGGCGAACCCCAAGGAGGTGGAGAGGCTGGCTGGTTCAGGAAGCAGAGAGGAGAGGACAGAACTAAGGCAGAGCAGGAAGTGGGACATCTGGTCAGAGAAAAATCACCCAGGACCTTCCATACCAGGCAAAGGAATTCAGATTTGGCCAAGACGACACAGGGAGTCCCTAAAGCATGAAGCCAATGGGCGTGTGCCCTCAGACTAGAAAGTAGGGAGACTGGGGACAGGAGACCCACTAGGACCCTCCAGCTGCCATCCTGCACCGTGCCGCTGAGAGGACGGGACAGTTCCAGGGGAAGTTTGGCAGGATTTGGTCACTGATCAGAAAGAGAGAGAAGAGTCTCAAAGACAACTCCTGGGTTTCTAGGATAAGTAATTTATGAGGGAGGCATGGCCGGGGAATCTCATGGCGGGGAAGAAAGAAATTTGGAGTTGTGGAATAAAGCGTGTGAAACACAGTGCCGGGGGCTGAGGCTGCAGACAGAGTGAAGGCTCTCTGGGATGGCAAGAGCTCCTTGCATTGGAATGCATATGCAGCAATTCCCAAAAGTTCAAAGCTCCTGCCTCTGACCAGCACTTCACACACCCTGCTGGCCCTCACCTTGCTTCCACCTGGAGCTCCTGCTGGAACGCCCTCCTCCCTATGTCTGGCAGCTCCTAGTCATCACTGTCTGGGTAACTCCTACTCATCCTTGAAGACTCTGCTTAGACATCACTTGCTCCTGGAGTCCTCCCTCCCCCCACCCCCACCTCAGGCAGAGTGAGGTGCCCTTCCTCTGTTCTCCTCTAGCACCCTGCTTTGACCCATCGTAGTACTCTATACCACAGATTGTATTTGCTATTTTCTTGTCTGCCTCTTCCACCAGATTGAGAACCTCAAGAGTATAAACTCGGTCTCACATCACATATGGAAACACGGTTTCTGATTTAGTGCTCAGTGGTCTGCATTCCTGGCACATAATTTGTGCTCAGTTAATGTTTATTGACTGACTGACTGAGTGAATGGGTGTGTGAATGAATGAATGCGAGAGACAGGCGGAAGAAGGAAAGGGGAGAATGAGGAGGAATGTGCAGTCTTTGGTTGGGCTGGGCAGGGAGGGGGTTGGCATGGCAACCTTAGGCTTGCCTTAGAGACAACATTAGAGACAGGATAGGCTGGCTACCTGGGTTCTCTGCCAAAGGAAACACCTCCAGACTGGACCTAGGGAGAAGGAAGGGGATGCAGGGCGTCAGGCATGGAGGGAGAAAGTGAAGCCCCGCTAGAGTGGACCAGAGGGTTCCAGTGAGGCAGAGCGTGGGACAGAGGAAGGGGGTCCCATGGCCCTGCTTGCAAGGGAGGAGGAAGGGAGGATACTCTTGGGAGCTGGGAGGTCCCAAACGGGACAGGACAGACCTGCAGGGCCAGATACCAGGGCCCTGACCTGCCTAAGCTGATGTTGGTCCCACCCAGCCCAGCCTGGGAGTCCAGCTAACCATCTGCACCTCTCCCAGACACCTCCTCCTGGCGCCAGAGGGAGCAGGGCTGCCAAGGAAGGGCTGGAGGTGGGCTTGAGATAGGGGCTTCCCAGTACTTCCTCTGCTTTGAACACTGGTGTCCATGCAGGTCACAGGGAGTCCAAGGCCTGCTCCACTGGGACACTCAAACCATTTCAAAGACTATTTCTAGGACAATGTCAGATGGCATATATTCCATCCCCATCCCTACACTTGCTAACCAGCTGGCCCCTCCCCAACACGAATCACTCACATTTCCCCCACCAAAAAATACCTTTTTTTTTTTTTTTTTTTTTTTTTGCCACACAGCGGCATGCTGGATCTTAGTTCCCCAACCAGGGATCGAACTCATGCCCCCTGCAGTGGAAGCTCAGAGTCCTAACCACCGAATTGCCAGGGAATTCCCAAAAATACCCTCTTAGGGTACAACATGCATCAAGTCCCCAGCACACGTCCGAGTCCAATCTTCCACATCCCTACCTGTGGGTCCGAGATCCCCATGAACCCAAGTGATAAGCCCAAGCTTTGCAGGTTGAGGAACCCAGTAAAACCAGAAAGTCCCTTCTGGGTGAGCTCCCCATTGTCCTAAATCCACTGTTTAGTGGGAGCATATCAGCTTGAGCAACGCCTTCCTTCACTTACACACACATGCACACACACACACGCACACACACACACACACACACACACACACACACACACACACGCACGCTGCAAGAGAAGGAAAAGAGAACTTGGGCTTTAGAATCCCCGTCCTGGGCTCAGTGGACCCAGAAGCTCATACTCCCAGGGTAAGGTAGGCCAGGACTGCCTCCCACTTCTCTCCCCCACCCAGTGCCCACCCAGCATCAGCATGACGATGTCACCAGAGCAAAGGAGACACTCCGCCTGCCTGGTGAGGTCACCCTGCGGGCATGTAGTAGCCAGGCCAGGCCCACGGACCCTTCTGCTGCAAATTGTTTCCTGAGCCTGGTGGACTCTGCTGGCTGGGCACTCCTCCCTCTGACCCTCCCCCCCCCTCCCCCCCCCCCCCCCCCCCTGCTTCTGGGAGTACCAGGATGCTCATCAGGAGCCTGGGTGATTCAGCCACTGCTGCACAGCAGGCCTAGCCTCAGTCACCACCAGCCACCACCTTGCGCAAGGGAGAGAACAGGCCCAACTGGCCAGACGGGATCCCTGCCCTCAGCCTCCCCCACCCAGGGCCAAGCCCCCACGGGCCTCTCTGGGGCCCTGCCCTCTGTGTACCCTGCCTGCTCCCAGACAGGCCCTCCATTCCTGGCTTGGGCTGGCTGCCTGTTCCCCACCCTGTGCCTGGGTCCCGACTTTCCTATCTGTGTGAGGCCCGGCCTCTGATCTCCAGAGGGGCAACAGGCTGGCAGCTGCAGATGACAGCATCTCTGGGGAAGGAGGCTTTTCTTTCTGAGGAGACTGTCTCCTTCAGCATCCCCTGCTAGTATATCTAGGGGTACGCAGTGGGGTCCTAGAGATGGGCCTGTGAGTAGGAAGAAGGGAATAAGTGTGAGCCTTTTGCGTCTGAACGTACATCTTTGGGTGAGGGTCTGGGGAGTCTCAGTGCTGGTTAACGTGCAGGAGAGGCTGTCTCTTTGCATGAACTTGGGGGCATTTTGCACATTTCAGGAAAGCGTGTGTGCTTGTCTGCATCCAGAGGGGGCTATGAAATGCGTGTGTGTGTGAATGTGCACACACAGTAAATATTTTCATGTCGGTTTCTCTTGGCTTCTGCACGGCTGTCTGTCTGTCTCAGCTGCCCTAGGTCAGTGGTGTGTCGCTCGGCGCCTTCGCCTCTGCACCCGTTTGGAGTGTCGCCCAGGCAGCCCTCCCCACCCCACCCCAGACCTGAGGGCAGATGCATCTCAGGTGGGGGGACCCAGAGATGAGGTCACTGTCCCTCCAGGGTGATGGGAAATAACCATCAAGGACTCCCCAACAGAACAAAACAAAAGCTCTCTCTACCCTTGCTCCTCAGGTTCCTACTAGAAGGACCCCCACCCTTCTCACCCCCCAGCCACGCCCCCAGGCCCTCCAGCACCTCTGGCCCCCCAAGGAGGCCTCTCCCTGGGAATCTCCGTCAGGCCTCTGCTGCTGCCACCACCAGAAAAACCAGCTCTAGCTCCAGGCCTGGGGTGAGGGTTGTCTGGTGTAGGTTTGGTGGGAAGTGGTGGGGGGAGACCCTGCCTGGGGCTAGGGGGAGGGGTCCAAGCTGTCTAGGGTCTCACTCTCCTTTGTTAACTCTTGCCTCCCCTCACCCCACAGAAGCAGCCTCCACCAGAGACAGGTGGAATGTGTGGGTGAGTTTGGGATAAGAAAGGACGTGGGAGGGGAGCCCTGAAGCCCCCCATTCAGGACAGGTGATATACACAACCCAGCACTTTTTTTCTTCCATCCTTCCCCCCATAGCCTTGGCTTTGGCATGCTAATTTGAAAACCAGCAAGATTCTGCCTCTGCATTCATCCACCTCCCTCATTTACCCCACATTGTCCTAAGCCCCCCAGCTTAGTGAGAGCTTCCCAACCCGGGCAAAACGCCCACCACAGATTAGTGGATGGGGAGGGGGGCCACACCAATCACAAAGGGAGGTGAGAACAATGGGGGAGGACAGGCCTTGAGGCAGCCCCGGCTCTGGCCCAGACACAGCTTCCAGCACAGGTAAGTCCCCTAAACCCCCAGGGAGCCAGAGTCTGAGCCCGGCTGAGTCACCAAAACAGCCACACCGTGGGTGGGAGACCCAGAATTCCGCTTCTCCCAAACTCCTGAGATCCTAAACCCCTCCCCAGTCCTGCCAGCCAACCACCCCCCTCCCACATCTCTGCAAGTGTGGCCAGCTCTGCCCCGCCCCAAATCACAACCTCAACCCATTTCTCAGGACATGCCAGCCAGTTTTAAAGGCTAGAGGGGAGGAGGGTGGCCTGAGAACTGTGGGTAAACTTCTGAGGCCAGAGGCTCCCTGCCTCAGTGAAAGAGTGACCCCGACCCCCTCCTGCACAGCCCTGCTCCAGGGGGCTTGGTGGCTTGCCCCCAGTTCTGAACTTGACCTTCGCATTTTAGATTCTGTTCCCAGATCCAACCCCTAGGCTTCTCTCCTCCCTTCACTCCTGACTCAGCTCCCCACCCCACCCCCATCCCTTCTCTCTGTCCAGACTTTGGTTAGCACCAGGGCAAGTTTGGAAGGCCGGGAAGCCCAGGCGTTCTCTCCTCACTAGGCTGGCTCCCCACGGTGGCTGACCCCCCTTCACTTTGCCTGGAGGACCCCAGGATCCCGAGGCTGGGGTCTAGAGGCTGGGACTGTGGACTCTACTATGAGCCCCTCACTGCCATCTCTGTGGCTGGGGTCCCCTTAGCCCAGCTCCCTGAAACACTGGGGTGGGACCAAGGTCAATGGGGCCACAGGGCTTCCCTGGGATTCCCCCTAGTTCTCCCCACCTTGGGCAGGGAAGCTAGCCTGCCTTTCTGGCTTCCCCAGCTTTGGGTAGATCCTACAGGAAAGGGCCTGCCCCCCTCCGTAAACAGGAGTAGAAAAGCAGGGATGGGGCCCTTCCCTTTCTAGGAAACTAACTTCAGACAGAAAGCTGGTCCTAACCCTCAGAGGAGAGACCTCAGAATTCAGAGAACCCCGTGCAGGGCTCAGTTGGGCCCCAAAATAGATCTAGGAACTAGGATCCTATTGGAGGGATATCTGTAGATTTAGGTCCCTCAGGCCCAGGGCAGGAGATGGGGAGGGAGAAGGGAGGGGACCTCACCTGGAAACTCATCCTATTAAGGAGAGACAAAGAGCTGTGGTGTCGAGGTGCCTCCCTAGCCTGGGCTCCTTTCCCTGTCAGGGGTGGGGCAAGGCCCTGGGGCTCAGAGCTCTAATGGCCCAGGACTTGGTGGGGGCACTAATTTGCAGCAGTGCAGGGGCAGAAGGCAATATCCAGGGTAAAGCTACCCTTGGTCCCCACTGAGAAATGGGGTCAGGACATTTCCCCCTTCTGTCACCACAGCCAGACTCACCGCCTCTTCCAGCACCCAGCACCCACCTTCAGTTCGGGGCTGCGTATTTACGCAGCCACAGGCTTTCAGAGCTGGAAGGCCTATAGGGATCATCTGGTTCTACCTCTTGGTCTGCTGAAGTCTAGTTTCTTAGTTGCCCAAGGTCGTGTAGCAAATTAATTGCAGGAAAGGGACCAGAACCCAAGACTCCTGACTTCCCAGTCCAAGGCTTTTTCAGAGACAAGAAACACTCTAGTTTCCTGGGGGCCATTGAGGAGATGCCTACAGAGGAGCCAGAATAGGGGTGGCAGTTAGGTGGGCACATCTGATCCTCGGGCTAGGAACCTGGAGTCTGAGTTCCAGCCTTCAGAGCACCCTCCGGCTCCGTGCAGGTTATAGCGGTAGATCATGGCTCACTGGGCACCAGCTTCCCTGGAGCCGGGTAGCCACAGCACCTGTCCAGGCACTGGGCAAGGTTGGGGTGACGCCCCAACTAGAAGGGGTGTCCTCTACCCTTCCCTGGCTTCTCTGGGGACTTTGTCTTGTTCACTGCTGCATCTCCAGCATCCAGCACCCTGGCTATCCCTAGTGTGCACTCAGGCACTATGCTTTAATGAACTAGGAACTGGGAGACCAAGACGCTAACCCTGGTTACATTTCTAACACTGAGTAATATTGTTAGCTCACTTGCCTATCTGTTTCTTTCAGTTTTCCCATCTGTAAAATGAGGGAGTTGAATCGATGATCTCTTTGGTAACTTCTGACTCCTGAGACATCATGGCTCCATTCTTTAGGCGTGGGTAGATCCTACAGGAGAATGACTGCCGAGTTCCCTGGCCCCAGCAAACAGGCCCCGCCCTCTTGGCCTAAGCGAGTGAGAAGGTTGTCTGGAAGATGGGAATTAAGATGTAGGGGGTAGGGGGGATGGCAGGGCTTGGAGTTTCAGTAACCTGCGATTGGAGGCTGGGCCAACAGCCTTTCCATTATAAGAGCAGAGCAGAAGCAGCCCCTACCCATCCACACGTCTAGACCTCACTCTCCTCCACACAGCCTTAGCTGGGGATGGAGGTTGGGGGACATCACTGCTAGGCCCTGCTGGACAACTGAGGCTCCGTCACTACTGATCCTGGGACTGGGAGTCCAACTGTCCCATATAGATAAGGCCTTGTCTTTCCAAGGAGAAAGATTTCTCAGTTGCCCATTATCCTGGGAACAGCCTACAGAATCCCACCTACCGTGGACTCATTATGTTCACGCACGCACACACACACATATACTCTCCCCCACTCTGAAGATTATAAATTCCTATAATTTATATCTTCTGTATATACATTACACGAGAGCGATACAAGGCATCTAGTTGAGAAAATAGGACACTCTAGAAGGTGCCCTACCCTAGACCCCCACTCTTCTGAGTAACCGCCTGATTCCCACCCTGGTACCTCATAGTGTGCTCAGGGACAGAGGGGGCCAGAGAGAGAAGAGCTTCCAGCTCCCCTGTAGTCACCCAACAGTATTCTAGGATATCGTGAACAGAGGAGAAGGAGATAGAAAGACCCTGTCTGCTCTCTGGGCATCAGGCTTCCCTCACCTTGATGACTGGGGAAACCAGCTGCAGCCCCAGTCAGCAATTCTGAAGCCCAGGGTGTAGGCGAGGGAACCTCCAGGAAAACCTGGGGTGAAAGGGTCCCCACCAGTTCTACCTCCCTGGCCACCTGCAATGGGTCACCATGTCTCTTCCCCAAGAGACAGCTCCAGCCCTTTGGCTGAGGTGGTCAGGGACCCCAGACCCAATGACCTGGCCTGGGGCTGGAAGGGGACATGAAGCAGGAGAGCTACAGTGGCTCTTTTGGGGGCACTACTATCCGCTGGAGGTGGGAGAGAGAGATTGATTCCTCAGTTCAGAGTAAAAGGAAAGGGAGTGCGTGTGTGTGTGTGTGTGTGTGTGTGTGTGTGTGTGTGTGTGTGTGTTGGCTTGGGCTCAGAAGCAAGGATCCTGAAGCAAGTCCTACCTGTAAACGATGCCAGGAGCAGTAGTGGCAGCCATGCCTCAGGCCCGCACATCTCGGCTCCCAGGGACAGAGGCATCGGTCAAAAGGCAGAGCTGCCTGGTGTTTCTGAAGTTCCACTGAGTTCTCCCTGGGAGCCGGCTCTAGAGCTGGATCGGGCACCGACCCAGAAGACAGGAAGTCACGGAGTCCTCAGGCACTGCCGCACTTGCCTGTCCCACTAGGATCTCCACTCGGGGACCCGGCCCCGTTCCACCCACCCAACCGTAGCTACCCGCAAGTAGCCGTGATTGGGATCTCCGAGCTCCCCCAGATCTGCTTCCCACGCCGTGGCCAACAACGACAGCAGAAACTTGGGAACCTGCTCAGCAGGTCAGAACAGGTGCGTCTTTGGGGGCTGGGCCTGGCGCGGAGACACGGCAGCCGCCACCCCCACAGCCTGCGCTGGCTAATGGGTGCCAGAGAGGGAGGGAAGGAGGGAAGGACCTGAGAGGTGGGATCCCATCGTCAGCTCCAGGCTTTACCTGGCAGTGTGTGGAAGGGGCTGTGACCGGAGAGGAAAGGCTTGGGGGGGGGGGGGGGGGGGGATAGGGGCTGGGTAGGAGAAGGCCTGGTGTGGCTCAAAGAGGGAGGCGCCTGGCCAGGAGGAACAGGGGCAAGGCCCTTGTGGGTGGAAAGGAACCCAAGCATCCCACACCCCAGCCAGCCTTGCTGCCTTCCCCCCGGCCTTGCCGAGTTCCCCAGTCTCCCAGAGGGGTTCAGCTTGGGAGCCAGAATCAGAGAAAGCCAGAACTGAGGACAGTACTGGCCCAAATACCTCATCCATCAGATGAGAAAACAGAGGCCCAGAGTGAGGAAGGGGCTTGCTGGAGGACACACAACTTAGGTGGTATCCCTACATCCCTATCCCTGAGGCAGGGAGTTAGTTCAAAGACCCCTCAGATGGAACTTAAGCGACCCCCTCCGCTTCACTTCTATCCCACAGAGGATAAGCCAAGGAATTGACCGAGGAATTAACCCCACAGATTCCTGGCCTCCCTAGCAGGACCCTCTATCAGCATCAACACCTTCTCATTACTGGCCAGAAGTCCCCAAAGTGAGTCAGCACTACCTGAGTGGAAAGGGGTTCCTTTCCACCATCTCCATGGTCATTTTATCCATTTATCCCATGGTCATTGGACAAGCCACATGTCCGGACTTTGCAAGGACAATCTTTTTTTTTTTTTTTGCGGTACGCGGGCCTCTCACTGCTGTGGCCTCTCCCGTTGCGGAGCACAGGCTCCGGACGCGCAGGCTCAGCGGCCATGGCTCACAGGCCCAGCCGCTCCGCGGCATGTGGGATCTTCCCGGACCGGGGCACGAACCCGTGTCCCCTGCATCGGCAGGCGGACTCCCAACCACTGTGCCACCAGGGAAGCCCGCAAGGACAATCTTGATTCCAAATACTCTATCCTTATGTCCCTATAGGTGTACTCAGACCTGTAAGACCACACGTTTCCGTGTTGGATGCATATAATGTAACCACCAAGTTACACAAAAACTTATTGGCCTAGCTGGGATAGCCAGAGGAGGGGGCAGACTCTGAACTCCCTGAAAATTGAGGGATGGGGAGGGGCAAGATTGCTGACATACTGGAGCTAAAAATATATATACAGGTAGACAGGAGAGAAGAGAAGATACATACGGGTTAAAATCTTGCAGTGGGATCCTTTTGTCTGGAGAGGGGCAGGAAGGAGGGGCCAGGACCAGCAAGGTGGGAGGTCATTTCAGGTAGAATATTTTCCACACACACACACGCACCCCCGCCTCTATCTGTCAAAATCTTACTCATCTTTCAAAACTGACCTCAAGTGCCACATCTTCCATGAAGCCTTCTCAGCTCCTCCCACCTAAAATTAATCTTTCTCCCTTCTGTTCTTCCTCAGCCTCTGCTAGTCCCTTTATTATAGTCTGTGTACTCATAATTTGTGCACATCTTATCTCCTTAACTAAATTGTAAGCTTCACTTCAAGAAGCAACAGTTGAAGCCTGCTATGTGCCAAGGATTCAGTAAATGTGTTAAATGGAGGGACAGGACGAGCGCTGTAGTCTGTGAACTCCTGGAAAGTCAGGCTTGTTTTATAATCTTGTCTCAGTCATCCATGCTAGGACAGTCCACAGCACTTAATGGAGACTGAAAACATTTTTGTTGAAGGCATGATGTTATGAACGGAAAAGGCGGTCAGGCAGAGGAGTGGAGATCCTGACTCTCCTGAATCTGGTTAGAGACCCAGACTTTAACCCTGCCTCTGGACCGTGACCCCAACTCTCTCTCTCTAGATCCCAAATCTGAGCAGTGTCCATGGTAGCGACCTCTTCCTGGAGGGCTGTTTCCCACAGGTCGGGGCCAGGCCGAATGCCAAAGCTCCTGTTTCTCTCCGCCTCCACTTTGGTGACCCCCTTCCCCTCTTCGGGACTCACATCCCACCTGTGCCGGGGAAGCAGCCCCACCCCTGTGCTGCTTTGAGATGCACGGTGGCAGGGGTGGGGTAGAGCAGGGGGGAATGGGAGGGAGGAGCGTCCCGTGTTATAATTATAATCATCAAACCTTGGATCCTATTGCGTGATTTCAGAGGAACTCCCTTCCTTCCCACAGATTCACCCCTTCTGGTCCAGGAAGCCACAGGAGAAACTGACGCACGGTGGTAGGAAAGCAGTTAGATCAAAAGGTGGGTATCCTGTCCCTCTATCTCCTTCAGCCTTTTAGCTCACAATACACCCCAGTACTGCCAGTCAGGAAGTCAGTGAGCCTCTGGCTGGGACCCTCAGTCACCCACCCCCAACTCCAGCCATGTGGGGCATGGAGGCTGGACGTTCCAGAGGTGTTAAGTCCAGGCTGAGCCAAACATCTTTTCATGGGTATGTTCAGGTCCTATTAGATCCCAGAGGTGGCCTTGGAGGGAGGGCTACGTGTATCACTGGGCCTGAAAGGGAGCGCTTGGGCCAGGCAGTGATTCCAGCCCTCTGCTCGAGGTAGGGATCTTCCTCCCCCTTATCTAACAGATATCGGTCTCCAAGTCCCCCTGCCCCCGTGCCCTCAGTCCCGCACATCTCACAAGGGCCATGCTCTTGGGGAATACGCCCTCATCCTTCAGCCTTGCCTTCACTCTTCTGGGATGAAGCTTGCAGAAGGCAAATGCCAGGGTTGGGGCTAGAAGGAAATACTGGCTGGGGAAGACTTTCCAGACCAGTGCCTGGTCTCTTAGGTTCTGTTCTTTCTTCCTCAGTGAACCCCCATTCCCCTCATGCCTCACTACCTACCCTCCTCCTACCTGCATTCTGGGCCCTAAGAATGGGAACAATTCAAGTCAAGACAGAATCCTTAGCATGTAAATTGTCTGAGCGGCACCACTGCACGCAAGGCCTGCATACCTGAGTTCATTCGACAGACATTAGGTAAGCACCTCTTCGTGCCAGGCTCCAGGGAGAGGACAGAGACACCTAATACATGGTCCCTGCCTTCAAGGAGTCCGCAGTTAGGACAGGCAGACACATAAACAACTATAACGTGCTATGTCCCTCCATCATGTGTTGCCTATACGTCTCTGTTTGTATATATGCCGTGTCCATACCCGGGGCTGTCTCTATGTGCGTAACCGCAGATGTTCATCACCTGCGTGTATCTGATGATCCGCTTGTAACCTGTGTCTGTCCCCATGGCAGGCTGCACACCTCAGCCAAACCGGTTGGAGTGGGTTGTGCTGAAATTTTTGTTTGTGTCAATGGGACTTGGAGGTGAGTCAGGGAGGGACAAGGATGGGTGGGGTGGTGTGGGGGAGAAGAAGAGTGAGAGTGAGGGTCAGAGTGAGTGAGTGGGGGAAGGAGGGAGTGGGTCAAGGTGGGAAGGGCTGGGGGCGGGGTATCAGGAGGATGGGTTGGGGGAAGGAGCAGATGAGAGGGTTTCTTAGTGAGTAATATCCTATTTGTCTGCAGTGGGATCCCAGGTCAAAGAGTCAGAGGCTGGCAGGGAGACCCTCGGGCTTTGGGAGAGATAAGAGTGGTTAATAAATCAGAGTGGAACTCGTTGCAAGCATGGATGTGGACCAAATGTCTGTAATCCATTTCTATACAGCTTTGTTTCTCTGTGTGATATTAAGCTATTCTTGATCTGCTCATTGCCTTGGCTTCTTTGTACAGAGAAGTGTTGGGAGGTTGACTGACGTTGTAGTGGAAGATTACTGATAGGGGACTTGATTCCATCCCCCAGGACCAAGGCTATTGCAGGTAGAAGCTTCAAGGTCCTTCTTCCTGCTCCTCCCTAGGACTCTCCTCACCCACAGAGGACTGGGAAGCGATCCCCACACAGAA